CGCGCACGCAGGTGGCGGCGGTGTTCCGCGACGCCGTTGGCGTGTTGTTGGTTGGCGGCGTGGCGCTGTCGTCGCGCGGAGCGCTGTACGTGGACGGGCTGTTGGTGCAGACGGCGCTGGGGCTGTGCGTGTCGGTGGAGGGCGGTGTTGCGGCCAGCGGCGGCTCCGTGGTGGCGTTTGTTGACAGCGACTTCCTGCTGTGCAAGCACGCGTTGTCTGTGCGTGGGGCTGTGAGCGTGTCGGGCTCCGCTGTGGCGCTTGTGCGGAACGACTTTTTGTTGACGGAGGACTACGCGGTGGCGTTTTATTCGACGGTGAGACTGGATGGCGGGTCGATGCTGCTGGTGAAGGGCAACGTGCACGACGGCGTCTCGAGGGAGATGCTCTACGCGGCTGGCGCCGTGACCGCTGCTGGGAGCACGCTGAGCTTTGTGCGCAACCGAGCGCTGCTGCCGCGGATGCTGTCGCTGAGCCTGTCGCTTGCGGCTGGGGCGCATTTGAGGGTGGCGTGCAACGACGCTGGTGGCCGTGTCCTGTCGACGGCGGAGGAGTACGCAGCGGCTGGTTTTGGCGACGCTGGGCGCATCGACGTTGCTGGGTGCGACGTCTGCGACAGGGATATTTACTGCTACGCGCCCGGGACGGCGTCTGCGAGCATGAGAAACGGTGTGTGCGTGTGCGCGTGCGGCAGCGGCGGGTACGGCGAGGCGTGCGTGCCTGTGGGAGCTCCCGCGCTACCGCCCGCTGCGGTCACCGCGTCGAGTGTGTTTGTCCGCGAGGGCGTGACGGTGCGGTCGGTGTTCGTTGTTCCTGCCGGCGCGAGCGAGGTGACGCTGCGCCACGTTGTGCTGGACGGCGTGAGTCCGGTGCTCTACGTGCCGTGGATGGCGCGGGACGGCGTGCGGATTGTTGTGCAGAACGTGTCGCTGCTGAACGGTGCTGTGCTGTACGTGATGGGCGGTGGAGCGGTGCGGGATCGGCGGGGAGCGACGAGGGCGGGCCGGTGGAGCTGTCAGTGTGCGATGTGGAGGCGCTGAACGGTGCGCTTGTGCTGACCGGGACGTTCCCCGCGGGGTCTGTGCTGACGGTGACGGACTCCCTGCTGGTTGCCGCGAGGTCGACGCCGCTTTTGTATCTTCCCGGCTCGCGGTCCTCGCCGTACGCACCGGTGCTGGTGCTGTCGGGCCTGCGGCTCGTGCGGTCCGTGCTTGTTTTGTCTGGCGTTGCTCTCGTGACGGTGATGACTGGTGGGCGGACGGTGGTGGTGGACGGCGCTGTGCTGGAGCTTGTCGGTGGCGGTGTCGCGCTGGACGCGGCTGTGTTCGGTGGCGAATATGCGTTGTACGCGAGTGCGCGCGTGGTTGCGTCTGGGGGCGCTGTGCTGCGCGTGTCGGGGAGCCAGGTGTATGCCGCGCATGGGTTGGTGTTCGACAGCGGAGTGGTGGCCAACGCGTCCGCCGTCGTAGTGAATGAAAACGCCGGTGCGCTGACGGATGGCGCGCTGCTGGTGCTGCGGGAGACGGCGTCGTTTGTGTCCGGGTCGTGGCTTTCTGTGCGCGGCAACAGCATCAGCGGCAGGCTCCTGTCTGTGCCGTCGTACCCGCGCCGTGCGGAGCTCGTGCGGAGCACGCTGACGCTCCACGGGAACGCTGGCAGCGGGCCCGTTGTGATGGACGGCACCGTTGCGCTTGTGGGTGCCAGCCGGAAGTTTGTTGTGGGATGCCTGACGCTCAACGGGCAGGCGCTGCAGCCGATCAACTACAGGTCCGCCGGCATCATCGGGGAATTCCGCCCCGTGGCGTGTGGCGTGTGCGACGCCGACGTGCGCTACTTTGCAGCTGCGACGAGGACGATGTCGGGGTCGTGCGGCTGCTGCTGTGCTGAGGGCGGGTACGGGCGCGACTGCCTGCCGGTGTACCTGCCGCACGTGGACGGGTGCAACCGCACGCCCGGCATTCCGCAGCTGAGCCACACGGCGACGCTGACGGAAACGCGCAGCCCGACACCAACGTGGACGCCGGGCATGAGCGCGACGCACTACAGTCCGACGCGGTACGGGCCGACGGAGACCCTGCAGGTGACGGAGACGGTGGCGCTGCCGCCCACGCGGACGCCGACGGCGTCGGTGAGCAGCACGCTGTGGTGGAGCGATGTGGCGTGCCCGACGCTTGCCGTGACGACGACGGCA